CTTTCATGTATGTTACACTCTTTGTGACTACTGAAAGCTTTCCCACATTGCTTACATACATAGGGTTTCTCCCCAGTGTGAGTTCTTTCATGTATTTTATACTCCTTGTGACTACTGAAAGCTTTCCCACATTGCTTACATACATTGGGTTTCTCCCCAGTATGAGTTCTTTCATGTATTTTACATTGACTGGGACTAGTGAATGCTTTCCCACATTGCTCACATATATAGGGTTTCTCCCCAGTGTGAGTTCTTTCATGTCTTTTACAGTAATACTGTGAAATAAAAGCTTTCCCACATCGCTTACATATATAGGGTTTCTCTCCAGTGTGAGTTCTTTCATGTATATTACATTTACTGTGCCTGCTGAATGCTTTTCCACACTGCTTACACACATAGGGTTTCTCCCCAGTGTGAGTCCTTTCATGTACTTTACAATGACTAAGACTATGGAATGCTTTCCCACACTGTTTACATACATGAGGTTTCTCCCCAGTGTGAATTCTTTCATGAATTTTACAATGACCTTGTGCATTAAAAGCTTTCCCACATTGTTTACATACATAGGGTTTCTCCCCAGTGTGAGTTCTTTCATGTCTTTTACAGTCACTGTGTCTCAAGAAAGTTTTTCCACATTGTTTACATACATAGGGTTTCCCCATGTTGTGATTTCTTTCATGGATCTGACCATCATTGGGTGTGCTGGAGGCTTTAAAAGTTTTCTTATATATAAAGGTCTTCTCTCTAAGGTGAGTTCCTTCACTAAAATCAGAGTAGGATTTCCCACATTGATCATATTTATAGGATTTTTCTCCAGTCTTTGTCCTTGCATCCTTCTGAAAGGACTGGAAATCACTGCAAGATATTTCATGTTCATCATACCTACACAGCTTTTCTTTTGATTCCAAATACTCAGATATCTTTAGTCCAGTGTGAGCTATGATGGGCACATTTAATGACAAGTGCCCAATCAGGGGCTTTCCACAAGCAAGGCCTTCAGCTGGTTTTTCACCAACTTGTTTCATGTGCATATTAGCATCTGGATCCCAAAGGAATATTTCTGCATATTGATTCCAGCCTTTATCTTGATAGCATTTCTCAACCTTATTTCTGTAGAGGGGAAAAGAAAAGCCAGAGTTGCAATACAATGGGTCTCATATTAATAATTTAGCACATGTTTTGTTTTGATGCCTCCTAAGAAATTCTGACAATGAATTAACTGAATACCCTGGGGATACCGTCAAGTCAGCCATCAGCCAGAGTAGCATTCATTTGGAAATTTTCAAATTGGTATATTTTTCAATACAGAATGCTTAGATTCATTTTGGACAATGGGTACATGTGTATATCACATAATGGTCATTTTGATGATTTGCCCCATCACTTTCCCCCCTTTTCCTTAACCTGTTGGTCTTCCCCAAAAGTCAAGTCTTTCCTCTTTTAATTACCTCTCTTTAATTTTACTTAATTTATATATAATTTATATATTTCTCATATAAGAGAAAGTTGGATCTATCAAAAATTTTCTTTACCCATTCATCCAATGATGAACATCTATTATATATTGTCTTGTTCTGACTATGTGTATGCATGTATCAGTATAATGTGATGATTTGAACTCTTTAGGACTATACCCAAGAGAGGTACTCCTGGATCACATTAAATCTCTATTAGTACTTGTGAGATATCTATATGCTAATTATCATACTAGCTATACCTAACATTCACACCAACAATGTTGAAGGGTGTCTTAAGAATTTTAAAACATGGGGGCCGGGGAGATGGCTCAGCAGACTAAGAGTTTCCCTGGCAAGTGCAAGGGCCTGAGTTCAATCCCCAGTTCCGCAAGAAAAAAAAAAAAAAATTTAAAACATGAATGAACTCAATTTTCTGGAGGATGGGTTGAAAACACTTGCATGACAACACTAACATTCATATGTACATTGAATACTGCTTCAATGTCAGCAATTATTTTAGATATTGAAAGTATCATTCACATCTGTGCATAGATGTGCTATAGAAGGGTTTCAAAATTCATTTTTTTCATATACATCTATACATCATACTAAATCGAATTTTGTACATTTCTATGATGGATCATGAAAGAACATTTTAAAACTTACATGTGAGATAGTGTCACTTGTATGATATCAGTACTCAGTTTCCTATATTGAAATATTTCTGTATTCAGCTGTCAGATTATACATACTAAAACTATATACATCTTTGGAGAATATTTGTGATTAAATAAATTTGAATATGGCCACAGTTCCCTGGTAATGGTAGTTCTGTTCATGCACTAAATTTTGAGGAATATTTTTTCCATTTTGAGCATGAATTACCTTAGATTTCTCCAGCAATTTTTATATTCTTCTTCAACTTTCTGGTTATCCAAAACTCTTCCTAAATTACAGACATAGAAATATAAGGAGACAGGGTATTATTACATAAAAATGAGTAGATTCCAGTTGGATTCATGGTATAATGTAACTGGGGCTGAGACAGTCTCCAGAATGTTTTCACATCCTATTTAATGAAACTGCACTGATGAACAACAATGTTCTCTGATTGCATACATAAGAAAAGTAATGTCATCCTTACCTATAGCAGCCATGTTCCTAAACGTTTCCCTCATCACATGTCTGTAGAGCTTCTTCTGGGATGGATTAAGCAAAGCCCACTCCTCCAAGGTGAAGTTCACTGCCACATCCTCAAAGGTCACTGCCTCCTAAATGATCAAACATACCTTTCTTGAAGGAAAGTTGATACATCCTGGGATGTCTCAACTCCTCTCATTAAAAAAGTGAACTGAATGTCAGGTGTGGTGGTGCACATCTGCAATCCCAGCACTGAGGAGGCTGAGACAAGTGGATTGCCATGAGTGTGAGATTAGTGTGGACTACACAGTGAGTTGAAGAGTAGCCAGAATTGCATAGTGAGACCCCATCTCAAAACAAAACAGAACAGCACAAAACACCTGGAAGGGGGCTGAATCCTCCAAATGTTAATGCTGTGTCTCGGTCATCAAATTCATGTGAATGCACATTTTTTTTTAACATTTATTTATTTAGTGTGGTGTATGTGTATGTGTGTGGCCAGCTCAGCCCACCAGGAGGCGGGGCTGGCTGGCATGTGGTGCTGGGGGATTGAACTGCGGTCCCTGTGCTCTGCCAAGTTTGTTCCAAGTAGGTGCTTTAGACCACTGAGCCATCACGCTAGCCCCTGAATGCACATTTTTTTCAGACAGCAATTCTGATGCTAGACTGCCACTCACTGCTCAAGCAACAGCAGAACAGTAAGCATGAACTGCAAGGGTGCCTGTGCACTGTCTCCAAGGCAGAGCTGGAAAGCTCACCATCCAGTAAATAGGCAAATGGATGTCTAGTGAATGTTTCCTACAGACAGGTAACATCTCTTGCCGAACCTCATTATTTATGGATTAAGTCCTTTCTTTGTACTTAGGCAGCATGTTCAAATTCAAATTTCATTTCATAAAAAACTGAGTATCAAATAAGGTTTATGAATAATAGCTAAAATGTTGGGGCTGGGGAGATGGCTCAGTGGAATAAGCACTTCCCTGGCAAGCACAAGGGCCTGAGTTCAATCCCTGGTTCTGCCAAAAAAAAAATGTTAATGGAAAAGCAGATTTATCAGAACAAGTCTAAGAACATTGGAAATAGGGGAGAGTAGCATTTTATCTTATAGCTCAGTATTACCAAATGTTCATAAGAAATTCTAGGGGTGCATGGGAGAGTAATAAAGGCAAATAAATAAAATGTATTATAAGCATTGAAAATTAGCATATCACAAAGTAATTAGGCACAAAAGAAGAAAGCCAGATGTGATACTGCATGTCTGTAATTCTAACACTTGGGAAGCTGATACAGAAGGATTGCAATCGAGTTTGAGGCCAGTCTTGGCAACCCAGTAAATTCAAGTCCAGTCTGAAATAAAAAGTGACACCCTACCTCGTCTCCTCACAAAAAGAGACTTCAAAACATTGTCAGTTATGAATGACACCTCAGATCTGACATTTATTTATTTATTTATTTGTGGTACCTGGGATTGAAATCAGGACCCTGCGCTTGCCAGGCAAGCACTTACTCTACTGAGCCATCTCCCTGGCCCTGACACTTTAGATTTGATAAAAATTTATAACTGTACAGTATAATAAAAATCGAACCATTCAATACCTTTCAAGCAAGAAGATTGGTAACTTACATATATACATGAAAGACATTCAAATTCTACCTTTCATAAGGCTGTACTGTTATTAGATATTGACAAATCGATATCAGGAAAGTAAGGTAGTCTTCCATGGGTGCACACATACATAGAATATCGATTCAGGATAAAGCCTCTGGAGGAAATCACAATCTGTTTCATTTATGTTTACAGATAAACAGATATATCCTTGGTAACCTGGGTTGTATACTCTACTACATACTGAAGTGGGAAAGATAAACTTGAATGTCATGAGCATTGATACTGAAATTACTTTTACATGTGAAAAAAGTGTCTCAGGAGAAAATCAACTAACTAGCAGAATTAGAAGGATAAATTAAAATATATTAAATTCATGAGAAATAAATGAGACAAGAAAAATATTTGCTATGTATACAGTATAAAAATTTTGCATAGGCAGTAAAGATCAATAAACACAAATCTCAAAAACATGACTACAGGGCTGGGGAGATGGCTCAGTGGTCTAAAGCACCTACTTAGAACAAGCTAAGCTAAGCAAAGCACAGAGACCGCAGTTCAATCCCCAGCACCACATGCCAGCCAGCCCCGCCCCCTGGTGGGCTGAGCTGGCCACATACACACACTAAATAAATAAGCAAATAAATAAAATAAAATAAACAAACAAACATGACTATAACATACCTAACTAGAGAAAATACCAAATAGAAAACAACAACCAAATCATTTTTTTTACCAAATCTTTTTTGAGAAAATCATTAAAAAATGGAAGTATGAAGGCCAGCTAGATAGCTCAGTGGATAAAAGCACCTGCTTAGGCAGATGTGGGGGTCGGGGGTTTGATCCCCTGGCAAGCCGGCTCCAACCCCAAGGCATGCTAGATGGCAACTGAGACTGGGCATGATGGTGTACCCCTGTAATCCCAGCACTTGAGAGGCTGAAAACGGGAGGATCATTATGAGTCTGATCTGTATGGTGAGACCCTGTACTAAATATATTTAAAAAAAAAGAAGTATGGAAGAACACAAGGAGGAAGTAGATATATGCAAACTGGAGAATAAAATGATACACTCTACACTCATTTCCTTTACTTTGAAGTTTACCAGAATCTGTAGATCACTGACTTTTTCCCACTGTCTAGAGAAAACACCATGCTTCAGGAATATCTGGAGATAGATGTGATTCTTTTCAAGTAAACTTGCAAAATCCTAAACCACTTGACCTGGATGAGAAAGCACTTTGTCTAGCACTCTGTCTTTCATTCATATATCAGCACTTGGGAAGAACACAAGATAGAAAAGGAACAACAAATCATGGATATATTTCTCTTGGCAATGTCTAGAATAATCATTTATTGAAAATTCCAAGAGAGGAAACTAAAAGAACATTGTACACTGAAAATCACACATGGTGAAAATTTAGGAAGAGTCACTGAAGTGGGAAAGTGGTCATCCATGGGGCAAGAGACATTTGAATCAGGTAGGGTTTTAATAACCTACGCATCCACTGCCCCAGGCCCAGGATGAAACTTTCTGAATATTCCCAGTATACAGTATAACTCTGTAAAGTGAGTTTGGAATTCATAGCCTCAGTCATTCACAGATTTTCCCAAAGAACCTACTAACTGTTCACAGAAAGCCCTGCAATTTTACCTCCACTACAAATAATATCCTCAATTATTTTTTTGCAAGAGGTCTGCAAGTAGCCAGTCCAAGAGCACTGTTCAGTCTCCTTCAGTATCCCTGTAACCCATCTTTGGCAGATGCAGCAGCATTCCTGCATCATAGTAGGGCACTGTACTGCGTGTAGCTGTCTCCAGTGTTTTTGGTTTTGCTCTTCTTAAAGCCCTAAGATGCTGCCAAAACACCCTGCATCTTCTAAGGTTTTATTAATATGGTATTAACTTACACAACTGCAGCAGAGTGCATATTCAGGTGCTAGGGATTGAACCCTGGTCCCTGTGCTTACCTAAGCAGGCATTTAGTCCACTGAACTATCTTGCTGGCCCAATTGTATATAAATGTTTTTCAAGCCTAAAATTTTGAGCAACTTTCAAACTGAGCCAGCATAGACTCTGCCCTTTAATTCCATACTAAGAACATTGTCAGAGGAAAAGCACTGGCTTGGGAGCTGACGTCGCCATCCACCATCACCCTCGGCTCTCCCACACAGTGCCCACTCTACTTTTGCGCTCCCTGCACAGGACACTATTTCATGCCTAACTTCTGACATGTCTGCAGACCAGCAACTGGTGCTTTCCCCCTGCTGCACTACTGCCTTTGCTCACTGTCCTACCTCACTCAGCATGTCATTTTATTTTTTTTTAAACCGGGGATCGAACTCAGGCCCTTGCGCTTGCCAGGCAAGCACTTATTCTACTGAGCTATCTTCCCAGCTATTCTTTTTTTTTTTTTTTAAGACAGGGCCTCACTTCATATTTTAGACTATGAGTTTTGAACTCACTATTTAAGCTAAGCTGAACCGGAGCTCCCAACTATCCTTCTGACTAGCTCCCCACCCCCTACCCCATGCAAGTGATGGGATTACAGGCATGTGCCACCATGCCTGGTTAGCACCTTTTTCATTTATTTGTACAAGGTCTCACTATGCAGCTTGGACTTGTACTGATCCTTCTGTCTCAGCCTCCCTAGCGCTGGGATTACAGATGTGAGCCACCAAGCCTAGTCTCAGTAGCCCAGTGAACCCAGGGTTCCAGGGCCCAGGGTTCCAGGGCTGGCATGACATGCGATATCGGGGATCGAATCCAGGTTGTTGCACTTGCCAGGCAGGCACTTAGACCACTGAGCTATCTTCCCAACCCAGCATGTCATTTTTAAACAATGTCAATAAAGTATGTGTGAACTGCAGCAATTACGTGAGAGATGGTGCTTTTCTATCTTGCCCCATTCACGTATCACCTGTTTATACCCTACTTCAAAGAGATTCAAAGTTTGAGCTTAATATCCCTTTCTGGAAATAGTTTTTTATAGCATCACCTTAATCTTTCCATTTTTCCTTCCTTTTTTCCTTCCTTCCTTCCTTCCTTCCTTCCTTCCTTCCTTCCTTCCTTCCTTCTTTTCCTTCTTTCATTCTCTCTTTGTATTTAGTACAGGGTCTACAGGGTCTCACCATGTAGATCCGACTCATACTGATCCTCCCATTTTCAGCCTCCCAAGTGCCGGGATTATAGGCATGTGCTGCCCAGTCTCAGTGTGCCCCGGGGGTGGGGCTGGAACAGCATGCTATGGATTGAACCCTGGCTGCTGTGCTCTGCCCAAGCAGGCACTTTAATCCACTGAGCTATCTGGCCAGCCCTTTCCTTCTTTACATTGATAACTTCCTGTCCATCTTCGGGCACTAAAAAGGACAAGCATCTAATGAAAACACAGGAAAATTATAATTCTTCCTCAAAATTAAACTCTGAGGTGAGTGTGATGGCACACACCTGTAATCCAACACTAAGACGATGAGCTAGGATGATCACCTGGCATTTAAAGCCAGCCTGAGTTTTTGTTTTTTGGGTTT